ATGGCCAAGCAGTAAGGTAGGGGACTACAAATCCTTCATCCCCAGTTCAAATCCGTGCTTAATTCGAAATAGGAAAACGACATCAGATAAAGTGAGAAATAAACCAATTTGGGATCCTCATTTTGGTCAACCCTCCATGGAAGCCTTTACTCGAGGAGGTGTTGCGTCCGCTCAATATTTCTTGTTCTGGAGATAAATCCAAATTCCAATGGTAGATGAATAATTGCAAATTTGCGTGTGTATGAGAATAGAATAACTTCAAAATAACTGACATAATTTTGTATGTTTTTACCCTCGGGGGGAAAGTAAAGGCCCTTGTCCCTTTGAAAGGTTGTGGACGAGGAGGGATTCGAACCCCCGACACCGTGGTTCATAGCCATGTGCTCTAATCCTATGAGCTACAGGCCCAGCTGTCTCCAATCCAACTAATCATTACATGATTTCCAATAAAGTAAAGATCATCAATTAAAGGTATAAATAAAGTAATATACTGGAATAATAAAAGATGAATCCCTAGAGAGGGAACTCTGGGAAGATATAATAAATTAAGATGCTCCTAATGGAATACATAACAAAGCCACTTTGCCACCTACTGTTACTAACTCGCCGTCTCCCCACGTTAAGATAGTACTTGTTGTTGCACCATGAGTTGTTACGCCAGTTCGTAGTTACTGGAACTATGTCGTATGGGTTAGCAATGACCCCAATCAAATTATTTGGGCCTACTCGTTATCAGTGGGACCAAGGATACTTTTGGCAAGAAATATATCAAAGAGTTAGCAATGGTTAGCCAAAAATCTTAATTTATTAGAAGCTTGGTCTAGAATTCCCAAAAATTGGCATTTTATGATTATATTGGTAATAATCCGGCAAACGGGGGATTGTTCAGAGAAGGCTCAGTGGACAAAGGGGATGGAATAGTTGTTGGATGTCAATTAGAAAGGACTAAAAATTAATTAAATTCAAATTGAAAAATTTAAAATGGGGTACCCATTGAGCAAAGATAAGTTGTAATTGTATGGCAGTATCCGAAAACATATCTTGGTGTACGACCTAAAGCACTCATGGAACCTGCTACTAATTGTTCCTCTGCTTCTGGTAAATCAAAGGGTAATCTTTCACATTCTACCAAAGAAGAAATTAAAAACCCTGAAAACCTAGAGGTAAAAGCATTACCAAAGGCTCATTCATCAAAAATTAAAACCATACAAACAGGAAAAGAAAAACGAATTTATTCACAAGACCCAGGAAATCGTAATTTTGGATTCCATTCATAAAAGATATTTTATTGCGACATGCTATTTTATCTGTTGCTTACTTTGAGGATTAGTCGTGGTCTTCTGGACTCTACCAAGAGTCTGGACTAATTTGTATACTTTACACATTTAATAAACACATATAGATACTGACATAGCAAGCGATTAATCATAGAACTCATATTATATATAATATAGGTTCTTTATATTTTTTAAAAGAAATTAGAAATGATAATGATTATGAAATAAAAAACTCATATCATAATTTTTTTAAATTATTGTGAATCCACTCCAATCGAATATTGAATATTCAAAATTTTCAATCCAAATTCAAAGTTTTTGAGATCTTTAAAAAAGTGGATTAATCGGACGAGGACAGACAGAGAGTCCCATTTCTACAATTCGCGTATGTCCGGCAGATCTACCCGTTGTGGATTGTAGATTTGAAATGGATATTAAAAGAAAACAATTGCTTAATTATAGTATTGATTTTGGAGTTTGTATATTTTGTGGCAATTGTGTTGAGTACTGTCCAACAAGGTGATCCATATGGACCGTGATCCGTATACATTATGGAGACTTCCCACATGGCGACTCTGCTAGAGTTGCTCTTACAAAAAGAGAGGCGAGTGGTGCCATTAGCTAGCTAGATCTACCAGCAACCTTTTTCTATTTGGTAGAAACCACACATGTGATTCACGGTCTCCAAGTGGCCATGCCACATCCGACGGCTGTGCATCGCAATAACCATGTGGAGGGGAAAAGGGCAAAAAGTGGGATAGGGGGAGGGGCAACGGATAAAGCGCATTCATTGATTGTGGCTCGGTGTATCTTCTTCAATCTCTCATTGACATTTTTATTTCGATTCTCCTTTTTTTCCACTCTCATCCTTCCCTTCTTGAAATCTAGGGTAATGATGTTAGTGTAGCGAAAGCAAGGGGACAGTGGAACGAAGATGCTACAAGAGGGCCTTGGTGCTTCTAGAATCTAGACAGTAGGAAGATTCCGACAATGACCCCTATGCCCCCTTTGACCTCTACTTCTGATTCAAAGAAGGAAAGGGCAAGGCAAAGGGACCTCACCAGTGATGTCTTTCTTTAGTTTATTATGTTCTTAGATTTAAATCCTAGTATACCATGCCATGTGTTTAACTACCCTGTACTATCTTATGTTATAATTTGTCCAGTGAATGTCAGATGTGTCCTATCGAATGATATATATTGCATGAGTTGGGGAAGGGTAAATTTGGGGGTGTCGTGTTAGGGGCAAACAAATATGTTGGTGCAGTTGAGTGCCCTGAGAGTTTTGGAGATTGTTGGACAGAAACAGTGAGGGACTAATGTGTTGCCCACACACAGAAATTAGGTCCCTGGAGTTCATAGGAGTTTGCTATGAACTCAGAAGATTATTATGTGCAAAGCGGAGAAGAATGCTAAAGCAATCGAGAAGATTGCTATCAAAGAGATTGCCTGGCGGAAATGACTCCAAAAAATGCTGACACGAGGCAATTGCTATGAAACATTGTCTGAGAGTTTTGAGTGCGGCAGAGAAGAATGAAGATGAAGAGAAGACATACTCCCTCCGGTCCATATTATTTTTCGCTCAAACGAACATATCTAGCACTGAAATACGTCTAGATATATCCGTTTGAGTGACAAGTAATATGGATAAGAGGGAGTAGTATCTTCTGTTGTAGTTCATTTCTCTTATTTGAGTCATATAGGACCACTGTACTACTAAAAAGGGTCTAAGTATTTTAAAACTTAAGTTTCTCTGATGCATAACCGAAACATATCCCAAGTAAGATGAGATAAATCTCTTCATGCGTCGATTCATTTGCTTCCCAGCCAGAGACGATAATCTTCTGGGTTGCGGAAGAAATGGTCGAGTAGAGGAGTCAGATTTACCTACTCCCTCCGTCCATGAATAAGTGTATATATTCGCCTTCAAAATTTGTACACAACCTCTTTTTAAAGTGAGGTCCTCTCCGGAAAAATAATAATAAGGGGGGGTTATTTTCCTTAGACGAGTGCGGTTACCAAAGATGTATACTTCCTCTGTTCCTAAATATAAGTTTTTATAGAGATTCCACTATAGACTACATACGGAGCAAAATGAGTGAATCTACACTTAAAATGCATTTATATACATCCGTATGTGGTGTGATATCTCTACAAAAACTTATATTTAGGATCGGAGGGAGTACAACGGATACTTGTGCAACATTTTCCCCGGAGTTCTGATCCACGGCATAACTCCGAACAATGCGGTGAGGTCTGCATCTCAAGGAATCAAACTGGCCAGACATTTAAACCTGACGCAATAAACTCGGCAGTTCATCACGCTGCTTCATAAAAACCCGCGCACGGCGTAGACAGTCAGTTGGATTGCGTGCTACCTGCCCGTGTGACTGCGATATCATCAATATACATACTGCACTCATTTTTTTTTTCGGGTAACATACTCAAATACTCATTGTACACTACTTACCACGGAATAATAGAGTAGCCAATTGAGTGAGAGATGCCCTCGCCCTGCCTCCTGCCAGTGCAAACGCAACAATGCCTATCTCGGGTCATCAGATCATGTGGGCGCCATATGGTTGGACTTGGGAGACGGGGGTTGGTGACGGGGACAGCTTGCCGCAACTGGTCGCTCTAGGATTAGGGTCCCGAAATACCAAACCTTGGATGCATTAGCAGGACGACCCAGCAGGTTTTTGTACTGGTGTCAGAATTTATCTACTGTTATTACTGACCCACCAGCATGTTTCTTCTCACACACAAGTTTATCCCAAATTCTACGAACAATCACTGATAAGTGGGTCCAGCCGTCGATCAAATTATGTTCGTGCAATCGTTTACATAGCAGAGTTCTGTCCAGGCAGGAGCCACACAATCGTGTACCTCGCCTGCAGTGGCCAGTTTCCTCTATCGGCCGGGAGCACGCGAACGACCGAACTTTCCCTCCCTCACGGGCACAGCGGCTGACAAGAACGAGAGGCACGCACAGCGTCATGTAGCGCTAGAATCTTTCCTAGCCGGTGAACGTTGCCCCGGAATCCCTGACAACACCAGCGGCTCGTGCCCACCCGGCCACCCACGCGGTACGCTTGCCTCCCCCTTCGGACGCGCCATGCATGTGCCGCCACCGGCGCTGGAGCCCAGCGTCGTACCTCCCTACGCCGCGCCCAAACAGTGCGTTCCACCGATGTGCCCAAACAGTGCGTTCCACCGATGTGCCCAAACAGTGCGTTCCACCGATGAAAATTGCGCGAGATCACGAGCTCTTCGTCGTCTTTATCCCCCGTGAAAGCTACGGCTACGAGCCTACGACGAGGTTGCTACTGCAACACGAGCGGCCATGTACATGCATGCGACAGTGATAGGAGTAGGAGCAAGTCGGAATTTTAACGTCGTTGAATTGATCATCAATGGCAGGCGCGGTCCGCGCGGATGGTCCAAGGAGACAATAATAAACGCTAAGCTAGCTACTCGCCCCCGAATGGCGGATGGGGCAGGGCGGGAGTACAATGCTCGCGTGAGTCGTGTACCCGCCGCGGGCGAAACCTTCGTGACAACAATGGGGGAATAAATTCCGACCGGTTTCCACCGCACACGGCACAGCGCAGTCACCCTGGCAAATACGTACGCCGCCTCGCCCGCCTCTGTACATCCCCGGTCATCCTCGGTGCCGGAACGCCGGAGCCGTGCCGCGACGGGTTGGCGCGCCGGCCGCGCGGGATCACATGACGACGTCGGAGCGGTGGCCGCGCCCTCCGCGGCGGTGCCGGCGGTCGCCGCCGTACTTCATCCCGTCCGGGCCGAACAAGCGCGGGAGCGCGGCGGCGTCACACTCTGACAGAGCGACCGGGTACCGGCGGCGGTCGTGGCAGTAGGAGTAGGACATGTGCCCACGCCTGAAAGCAGACATCGACGCCTGCTGCCCGGCCGACAAGGAGGCGGCGGCGGGCTCGTACCAGGGCGTGCCGCAGGCCGCCGCCGCGGCGTGGTCGATGGGGTTGACGGGGCAGCCCTGGAGGACGAGGTCGCCGAACTCGGCGACGAATGGCGCGTACTTGTAGTTGACCCTGTAGCGGCCACCGAGGGTGGCCCAGGCGGAGCCGTCCCAGATGGTGGCGTAGAGGGACATGGGCTTGGAGGGGAACGCCGCGCCCATGGCCTCCCTCCTCACCACCTCCCTGATCGGGGTCTCATCCACGTAGAATCTGCAGCCAAAACACAAATGTCAGTGCGCAGTTCACAAAAAGAGAGACCACAAATTATAAATTGTTTTGTTCTCTATTTCTTTATGTGCAGAAACGTTGTCGATTCTTTTGGTAAAAGAATCCAGGCAATGCGCATTGAAACAGGCGCAAAGATCTCGGAATGACCCAAGTTTGCCAAGGTCAGAAGGGTGGTGACACAAGCAGCGGGCAGAGCAAGAAAAACGCCAAAAAGGTCTGTGACTGGCTCTCCCCACGAGCGCTCAGGAATCCAACTTCCAAATCCACACCAGGAATATCATCATAACTTAAATTAATTATGGTGCGCTTCTTCCACCCCGAACCCGAAGTAGGCCAAGCAGACGGAAATGAGAGAAGCAGAGGAATGAACAGTGGAACGCAGATGGGGAAGAATGAGATGGTGCCTCACATGATGCGGTGTTGGGTCCAGAGGATGGAGTAGTGGTGGAAGTCGTCCGTGGGGTCGAAGGGGAGGTCGTAGCGCTCCTCCCGGCCGGCGCCGGTGCTGCCGTTGCCGTACACGTTGGTCTGCACCCGCCACTCGCGCCCGCGCACGTTGCCCAGGAACTCGAAGTCCAGCTCGTCGTGGGTCTTCTCGTACGCGTCGGCGTTCGACAGCTGCATGCGAAAACACAAACAAGCATCTTCTTTAGATTCGCATTAGCATGTTTTTGAATTGATTTGGTGGAAAGATGCACAGCAGGGAGAGTAGCGAGGAAACACTGAACGTACGTAGAATGCAACGACGACACCGGCGGCATAGTCGGCAGGGAGCTTCACTGCGGCGCTGAAGAAGCCGTGGAGGAACAGGTCCTGGGAGGCGAACCCGGAGCCTGCACAAGGAAGAGGAAGACGAAGACACGTTCTTGTGAACAACACCCTGAAGTTGGCAAAATCACAAAACCTCCCTCCTTCTGCCTTAGGAGACTGGACACTGGAGAGGAGGGACCCGTTCGTGAAGCAAAGAAGTGCAATGCGCACCCGCATATTACGTCGAAATCGCATAAGCGCGGCCGCTAAAGCCGGGCAGCACTCACCGGTGGACTCGTCGAGGGCGAGGTGGACGCGCTTGCCATCGCGGCGGAGGGCGAGGTTGCCGCTGCCGAAGAGTTGGGTGTAGCCCTCGTCGAATGCCATGGACCGCACGACGCCGTGGAGCGGCGCCGGCTGCCGTGCCTCTCCGCCGCGGCCAAGCAGGACGACCGCGGCGACGAGGACGAGGAGGAGGTGGGCGAGCCGCGGCGACGGAGGAGGACACGGTGAGCTGGACGCCATCTCCACACCTCGCTCTCCAGTCTCCACTCTGAGCTCGGCTCTGCCTCTCTCTGCGCAACGCGGCCGTGATAGGTGCGATTTTATTGTGATGGCTCCGTCCAGTCTCTCTCTCTCTCCCCTGCTGTGTGAGCGCCTTTTTCTCGGGACGTGAGCTGCTACAGTTTTGTTCGGCGATTTGAATTAGTCCTCGTGTTCGGGCCCAGCGTCCGGTGTCTTGGATTCCTGGCAGGGCGGGCCCCTACTATGCGCACACCAAGTCACCAACGTTGCAAAATTGCATGTCTTCTTTTTTAATTATAATAATTAATAAAGAAATGAAAATCCTGCTGGTAGTAGGAGTAGTACTACCTAGGGCATTTTGGAGAACGATCGATGGAGCGATGGAAGTCGTTTTTATTAAAAAAAAAGACTTTTCGCGTCTGGTTTCAAAATTTTCTGAGAAAAATCAAACACGTTAATATGGATGCTTTTTTCTACATGTGTGCATATTCATGCAATTTTTAATAATAGCGAACAGTTCCTATATTGTTACCCGAAAAAAAAGTGCATATATGTTCACCATTTTCAAAATCGCGATTTTTCCTTTTTTGAGTAGCTCTCACCTTTTTCTTTTTTCGAAAAAACTTCTAATCTATTCATCTTCAATCATGGCAGTACAACGAATACCAGAAATAAAATTTACATCCAGATCCGTAGACCACCTAGCGACGACTACCAGCACTGAAGCGAGCCGAAATCGCGCCGCCGTCATCATTCCTCCATCGCTGGAGTCGGGCACAACTTGTTGTACTAGACAGTCGGGAAGTCGTCGTGTTAAGACCCCATAGGACCAGCGCACCAGAACAGCTACCGTCGCCGATGAAAAATAACGTAGGTTGGAAGGATTCAACCCGAAGACACACAAGCGTAGACGAACAACGACGAGATCCGAGCAAATCCACCAAAGATAGATCCACCTTAATTTATGTCATCTCAAGATTTTACTAGCCTGTACTAGTATACACCCGCATGAACATGCGTGATTTTTCTTTAAATCATACAACTTCAAAATATAAATTTCGATTTTTTCAACAAAACAACTTCATGGAGCCTGTACTAGTAGCATTTCGGAGTACTACTGAGACACTCCGATAGGGATCGCTCGTTCCAGGTCTTTCGACGTTTTTACCTTTTTGCGGGGACAGATCTGTCGACGTTTCACATCGCGGTGAATTCTTTTCCGAGCCTACCGTACAACCACTACTCTCTCGCCTGCGACGAGTAACTGCGGTAGTAGATGGCAGTATACTGCTACCGAACAGTGAAAAGATAGGCTTGGGCCCATATGTCAGTCAGGAGCAGCGGCTCACAGGTTAATTTCTCAACCCAAAGCCGAGGGTTTAAACGACGTGTAGCATCATTATCGTGTCCCCCCTGCTCTCTCTCTCTGCGCCCGTTCTTTGCCTCTGGGAAAGGCAGCGCCTTTTTCTTAATTGCGGACGCAGACGGGACACGGCCTGGGGTTGGCTGCTTGCTCCTGGACGTACGCCGTGCCATGCCAGGCCACTTGCGATCGCGGGGTCCGTGGTAGTAGTGGTAGCTTGACAATGTTGTACAGTACTACTACTGGAGTAGGAGTACTTGCGAACGGAGCCGCGCGGTAAAAATTTCCCAGCTTTTGGTAGTACGCTACCGCTACTCCGTGACCATGAGAGCACGGAAGAAGAGAGTGTTCCAGAGGTGTACATGTATTTGCCGCGGACCGAAATACGTACTGTACTCGGTGTGAGACCGGCTACTTCGCAGCAGACAAGCTCCTCCGTCAGCTCCCCTTCGCCGACGACCTCTGTCGTCCATAGTAGGGGGTCGCCGGATCCATGCGCATGGATCGTTTTTACTTTCTTGTAGTCTAGATTTTTAGGTTGTTCATTCTCTTGGTTTCGACGACGACGATGACGGCATTGAATAAAGATTTTTTGGATCCATCCCTGACGAGGCCATCAGTTCTATGGTTGGGGATGGATTTGGAAACCAATATGTTCAAGCAAAGATGACGTGGCGGCGGCGGCATCCTCGTAGTGGACCTGTGTCCTCGGGCATTGGTGCTTTCATTGTTGAAAGGAAATAATTACTTCCAATTAAATCTTTCCTAGATACCTAAAATTCATTTTATTATGATCCATTTTGTGAAAATATATATTGCACTAAAGATGCAAAATTGTTTTCTTTTTTCCTTTTTGTTCTAACTTTCCCCACCTCGCTTGGAGGAGATCAAAGATCTCCGTCATGCCAGCTGAGGGAGTCCTGGACTAAGGGGTCCTCCAACAGCCGGACTATATACTTTGACCGGACTGTTGGATTATGAAGATCCAAGATAGAAGACTTTTCCCGTGTCCGAATGGGACTCTCCTTTGCGTGGAAGACAAGCTTGGCGATTCAGATATGTAGATTCCTTTCTCTGTAACCGACTTTGTGTAACCCTAGCCCCCTCCGGTGTCTATATAAACCGGAGGGTTTATTCCGTAGGACAACAATCATGACCTCATAGGCTAGACTTCTAGGGTTTAGCCATTACGATCTCGTGGTAGATCAACTCTTGTAATACTCATATTCATCAAGATCAATCAAGCAGGAAGTAGGGTATTACCTCCGTAGAGAGGGCCCGAACCTGGGTAACATCGTGTCCCTGTCTCCTGTTACCATTGGCCTTAGACACACAGTTCGGGACCCCCTACCCGAGATCCGCCGGTTTTGACACCGACATTCATGCTTTCATTGAGAGTTCCGCTCTGACGTCGAAGATAGGCTTGATGGCTCGCCTTGTTATCAAGAACAACATTACCTCCGGGGGAGCCCTGGCCTCAGGCCAAACCCTCCGGCTGGGCGGCCTTATCATGTCCGCCCGTTCGGCCGTCGGGCCAACGAGGACTTCTCGGGTCATCGAAAATCGCCTCCGCATCAACTCAGAATACTCTGAGCAGATGGATCCGATGGAGTTGTCGTCTTTAAACGAACTCCTGGATCGCATCGCCGCCTTGGGAGTCGCTACGGACTACAATCGGATTGGACTTAAACCCGATCAGAGAGAAATTGAATCTCCACCAATCACCCTTTAGATAGCGGTAGTGGAGGAGCAATGCGACGACTCATCCCCTACATTGAGGACGAGTTATGTTCGGGTTTCCGAGCTCACAGAGCCGGACACCCGCACGAGGAAAGATGGGCCCCGAACTCCGAACCTAGAATCGGACTGCGGGCCCGAAAAATTGGTTGATATTCCGGAGCCCGGACTGTTAAGTTCGGAAGTTTCTCAAACTCTGGATCCCAGACTGGGTCAGGGTTCGGATTTAAAAGCCACCCACCCACCTAGATACAAGCGATCTTATCCACATCAGACAGCAGTCCCAGGAAACGGTCCATCACTTTTGGGCCAGATTCCACCTTTTCAAGGACAGGATCAAGGACTGTCGCGATGAAGATGCAGTCTCATTATTTTATAAAAACTGCACGGACGAGGGAATCCTCAATGCAATCAATCGCCGCCACGTCTCACACTTCGTTGACTTGGCAACCATAATACAGAAGTACTGCGCAATGGAAAGCGTTTGGAAAACTCAGGCAGCCTCTTGGGAGCCACCGGTTTCCACCAAACCCCTCGTCCGGACAAAAAGGATGCACCCTCGTCGGTCGCCTAATCCAATAACAAAAAAATCAAAGCCCGTTACGGGGCGCGGAACCGTTCTGAAGGGATGGCTCGATAGGCCATGCAAAATACACATAACACCGGATACCGTACCAACCCATAGCCTTCGAGCATGTTGGATACTCTGGCAGGAGGCCAAGAGCGGCGAGGATCTCCTCACCAAAAACACCACAGAGCAACATCCCATGGAAGACAACAACCCTACAGTATTAACAGTCTTCAAGACTTTCACCTCGAACAATATGCGCAAAAGGGCACTCCGCAGCCTCACTGAAGTCTGCCAAGTTGCAGCAATAAACCCCTGGAACGACACGGCCATAACTTTCAACGAACTAAAATTCAGAACAGTCTGGGCACCTGCCGCACTGGTCCTCAGTCCAATTGTGGACGGCTTTCGGCTTATCAAAGTGCTCATGGACGGCGGCAGCGGACTAAACCTCATTTGTGAGAAAACTCTCAACAAAATGGAAATAGACAGGAGCCGCATTGAGCAAAGTAATACGACCTTCCGAGGAATTATTCCCAGTCGGGAGGCGCGATGTGCGGAAAAAATCACACTAGATGTGGTATTCGGCACGCCGGAGAATTCTCGGTCCAAAGAGATAACCTTTCAAGTGGCCCCTTTCAACAGTGGATATCACGCCCTATTAGGGCGAGACGCATTTGCAAGGTTCCAAGCTATACCCCATTATGGGTATCCAGGCCCAATGGAATCATCACTCTTGCCAGTGATCCGGACATAGCACTCCGCGCCAAAAACAAAACCGCTGCCTTGGCCCTCGAGGCATTGTCTGAAGCCCTCGCGGTCGAAGAACTAACCGCATTGCGGTCCAAAGTGGATAGGGACAACGTGATACTTGATAAGCAATCCAAATCCACCTCCTTTAAACTAGCAGACGAAATAGTCAAATTCCAGGTCCACCCAACGGACTCCACGAAGATAGCATCCATCGGGGCACAGCTGGACCCCACGATCGACGCTGCACTGCAGGCGTTCCTATGTGAAAATTGGGACATATTTGCCTGGCACCCTTCTAATATGCCAGGAATCTCACGCAGGCTGGCCGAACATAGCCTAAACATATTGAAGGGATACAAGCCGGTCAAGCAAACACTACGGCGCTTTTCTGAACCCAAACGACAAGCCATGGGAGAGGAGCTAGCCAAGTTACTCGAGGCCGGATTCATCAGAGAGATAAAACACCCGGACTGGCTAGCAAACCTGGTGATGGTACCAAAGAAGGATAAATCCTGGCGCCTATGCGTCGATTTCAAAGACCTCAACAAGGCTTGACCTAAGGATCCTTTTCCCCTCCCC